TAACTACTACTATATTTCTCCCAGTTTAGCTGAAATTTTCTTTAGTTACTTCTCATGTTTCGATAGAAAATACATCCCACTTGATTCGTTATATTAACAACACGAGCATCGTAATCCGTATGTTTGTGACCTCCCTGTAACTACTACTATATTTCTCCAATGAAAATGAAACTTTTCTCAACCGCCCTCACGGAAGGTTATGAGTACAAAGAAGCTGTACGATCATTCCCAACCATAGACGCACGAGGGTCCTGAATCCCGAGTGTAAAAGCTCGCGTCTGTGTCGCAGGATCAACCCGCGGTTTCGAGAATTCTCGCAGCGCGCCTGCGTCGCTTCAAGCACGCGTACACGCTAAAGTATATAGGTGAGCTGTTACCGTTCTAGGCGTCACATTGTATCCTCGAGCACGTCCTTTCGTCTTTCTGGTATTAACCCGCGTGCCAGTATCCACGTTCCGACCACGACCACGAGTTCCCTCGCAGCGAAATTCGAAATCAACGCCAAGTCGTTAACAACTCCTGAACGTACGAGCGATCTGTACTTTCGAGGGCGACGAAAGTCGAGATAATCGAGGAGGAAAGGATCGCAGAGTCGTTTGGATCGCGTTTGGAAGAGGATCCAGAGGCTCCTCTGGAGGAGCAGTGGTGCGAAGACCGGTAAGGACCTCGAAGAGGAAGGAGTTGAACCCTTGGAGCCGCGTACGCGGATGCTGTAAGCGGACAAGAATCTTACGAATTCCAAGTAGAGAAGAAAGGCCAGAGAGATGGGGAACGGAGTGATTCCACTGGTGGTGGTGGCCATGGTGCCCATCATCGCTGGTACCATTGGCCAGCGTGCTCTCGGCAAGAGGAGCATCCAAGGGAACCTCGACTTTCCAGACTATGCTACCAAGTACGACGAGTATCCGGTGAGTAATCACTCGAACTAACTAATCACTCGTTTCTATGTAGTTCGACATTTTTATCAACCTTTTGTCTTCTCCGTTGCATAACGTGTTTCTAATTCAATACATGATGGATACCATTGCTAGAAAGTTAACAAAAGCAAGATTTGCACATGTGTTTTCATGTAGGAACGTCTTCAGAGATTCTCAGTATGTTAATAAATTAACAAGTTGCCACTTATTAATTTATTCATGGATGTATGAATAAGCAAGAAATAACCTCCTCCTTGAAGTTGTGAAACGTGTTATTTGATAAAAGTGGACAGAATTTGATTAAAATAATGGATAACAAATAAAACCGATGCAATACAAGCTACCTTATAATCGTAACGCTTGTTTGTTGAAACAATGAACTTTTTGTATGTTAATTTAAATTTATATTAATCAAGGTATTTCGTTAGATAAAACTATCAAAATGATTCGAAGTTCTGCTGTAGCTCGACTAAAAAACAACAATTTCTATGTGAATTTTAATAATCACAATTTTAATAATTATCATTTATTCGAACGTGTGTTGTTCTCGTAAAGAAATAGTCAGTTACAAACGTTGTTGTTTAAAATGTATCTGTGATGTAAAAACACGCTGTTACGTTATCCATGATGTTTGGAAGTGGCACAGTTTGGTGTTTAGCAGGAGTAAAGCTGTGGGATGGGACACAAAGAGAAACAAATATTGAAAATTGTTGAAATGGCGATACTATAAAGAGAGATAACAGAGTTGTACATAGAGAAGGGAAACACTCTTTTTAATAGAAATTGAGTGACTACAAATATGCTGTTCGTGGTCCTGATCGTTAAAATACAATTGCCGAAACGCACATTCCCTGGCTGTAAAAATTATTCGAACCTTGATCAGTATTTAACGATCAATATGACGAAGATGATTAACAAAAACCTGTGTCAAATTTGGAAATTAATTTCAAGGAAATAAATACAAGTCTTCGTTATTATAGGATAACGGGATAAATGTCGGTATTCAAGGAAACAACAAAATTGTATTCGAATATCATTACACGAATATAATTACTAAATACATAAGTGAATTAACAACTATATAGATAGATTAATATTTCAGTAATGATATTGCAAATCATAAGAGTAATAATATTCGTATCGAGTAACAATATTCAACTAGCGATACTGCAAAAATAAAGTTCCTATACAAGTACTCCAATAGCTATTCGAATTCTCGATAGTCGAAGAATTAATTTATTCTAGCAAGCTCAGTGCTAGCTCAAACTGCATCGAATACGAATTATAATTATTACTATCCTGTATCTATATCATGGAGTAGTTTTGGGGAGTCTAAGAAAATTCTGGAATGAAACCACTCTGGGTTTTCGAGCACCCTTCGAATATTGCGCTTTTGTCTGACGTCGACAGGCGTTAACCACTGGACGAGATACGACTCACGATCAACAAGTAGCATTACGCATTTCCGGTGAACGCCTCTGGGAAACGAGTCTCGGAGGGTTCCTGCGAGCTTCGCCCTCCGTTTACTGTCACTTTCATGAAATAGTCTCTGACCCTTTTTAATCCGCGCGATGTTCTGTAACAAAGTCGCCCCTAATTAATTCTCATCTTAGCTAACAGATTTTGTTATGTAAGCTTCTACGTAATTTATGTAATGAAGGTAAACCTTAGCGTTCAGTATCTACCGAATAGCACTTGTTTGTTGGCTAATCGATAAAGGAATTATACTTGTGAAAATATTTTCGATTTCTTGAGAACAAATGAATTAAAATTTGTCTAAAGTTTAATATTATTTAAGCCTGGAGCCTTTCACTAGCAAATGTTAAATACTATCTCCTGATTTTGATTAGACTCTTTCGGTTGGATTATATTAATCATGACAAAGGAAAAATGAAGAAATTGATGAAGTTCGATATACAGAGTATTATCTGACACTTGAACTCACAGACTAAAATTTACGCAATCTTAAATTTAACAATATAACGACTTGCTAATACGTAAAATTTAATACCTTATTGATTTGTGAAAAGTGATACGTCAATAATCTGTCATCGACAATTTAATAATTTAGTAATGCGTTATTTGAAATTTAATAATATAATAATTTATTAATTCATCGAGAATTTAATTATTCGATTTGCTCGTGAAATTTTTCTTAATAAAATTGCATCAACGCTGGCCAATTCTTTCCAAATATACTAACCTACATAAATACTAATTCTTCATTTTATTTTTGTGCTTAACTGAGTAGCCAAATAAAATTTAGAAAAAGAACAACAACGAAAGTAAGTCAATCGAAAATAGCGAGATGAACGTTTTGAACAGCTTTACAGGGTTTCCAATGTACGCCCATCTTCTGTTCGAGAACAAAAGAAAACGAATGGACTTTCGAAAGTCCGTTTCATCCTTCCTGTATCGTTCACGCAAAGAGGTGTCATTTGCACCGTGATCCCAGCTCAAGGGAATCGATTTCGCGCGTATTTTCGCGGCTTCGAGTTCTGGAACGCGACGAATGTCGATTCGACATTTTCTCGACACATGAAAACGCGAAAGAAAAATCTATGGCTTTGATCCGTGTAACGACACACCTCTTGGAAATGTCAGAAGCTTGTAGCATCGCGTCAAAGTCCAATTTTAGCATTTCGTTGTCTTCCGATTTCTCGTGTTTCAGATTTCGTCTCGTTTAGATTCAAAACGCCGAAGAGAATCGTTTAGTTACGTAGCTGTAGGACAAAATGAGTCTCATAATAGACGATCGTCTTTGTACGTCAAAGATGGCGATAAACCCACGACGACTACGATTGGGGGATCATTTTTCTTGCATGCCAACAGTAAACTTTCTTATTTCGTTACTTTGGAGATTTATTTTTTTTTTACATTTCAACTGTACTCGTGTACTATTTAGTTACACATTTGTGAGACAAAATAACGATCTAGACGAGCTCTTTATAGATCAAAGGCGTCGATAGCGCCTGGATTAGTTCGATTGATTCTTTCACCTGCCAACGGTAGCATGTTCGACGTACGACTTGATCGTGAGCGTCGTTAGGGGCCGCCTCCATTGAAATCGTAACCAATTTAAAAGGTTTTCACGAAGAAACGGGAATCCTTGGCAATAACAAAGTACTGTGACGTTGTCGGTCGCATTTTTGGGGCAGCTTTATTATCTCTGTGTTAATGGCATCCGCGAAAGCATCGAAGGGGATAAATCTGACAAAAAGTCGCCGTTTGTTCTCGACCCCCTGGCAAACACGGAGACAAGCTCGCGTCTCGTAATCGCGCCCATAGAATATTCAATTCTCCGTCGACGTTATTATAGCGTCCTGCAACTTGTATTCCGTTCCATCTGGCATTCTTAAAATTACGTTCGTCTCAAATTTCTTTATTGCAGAGTCTACCTGTTCCATCGCGAGATTCCCTTGTTTCACGGTAAATGAGGGCGTAAGGGGAGTATTTCGTAATGTATTCTCTTTCTTCGTCCTGGTGGTTGCTATAATAAAAGCTAGTAAGGAAGCTAGATGCTCCAGGAAGGAATATTTCAGATATAATTCACGGCTCGAAACGATTATTTCGCATCAATTGGCGCACACGTTTCATTGGAAGCTAAAAATAAATTGTATAGTGATTAAACAAAGTGGTGGCACACCTTCTTCTTCTGTAATATCTTCACAGCCCGATATAAAAGGGGGCCAATACTATCATACATGTATTTAATATATACTGTATACTATAATACAATACTATAATATATGTATTTCGGATCACTGTATGTGTCCGTGAGTTTTCTATGACTCCTACTTTGTTCGACTCGGATAAAATTTTGTTCGCTTCCTCCTTGTGTTTCGATGGAAAATATAGACTACTCAATTTAGAGAAATGTTAGGTCGTCCCACAAGTCCGTGCCACTTATTCTTCTGCCACTCAAATGAATATATGAAGTATACCTTTAAGTCTTCTAAGAAAAGGTAATCTCTCTCGTTTTACAATATTTTATAGTGACTGTCATTATACAGTCACTGTAGTGTTTTTCATTTCTGTAGTGTTTTTTTTTTATTAAATATTGGCCCAGTCTAAAGTACGTATTACTAAACAGTGTAAAACTTGGAATATTAGTCTACGCTGTACAAAACAATTTATTCCTCCAACGATAAAAATAATACAGGGAACATATACTATCACAGTTGTTAAAGTTCCAATGATCAATGGAAAGAGATTTTAAGAAACATCGAGTTGAGTGAATCTGAAATAATAAGGCTTGAAAATAAGCTTCAAAACGATGGTCCTAGGGAACATTTCTTGAAAATGAACGAATTGAAGGGTCCACGACCCTCCCTCGGTCTCCAGAAGACATGTACATCTCCAAACCTTTCTGCTATTTCTTCCTGAATTTATTATTTGTACTACGCAGAATATTATATAGCTGTAAACAATCCAACTACTTGAGCAGTGATTCGTCACTTATAAATTACTCCTAGAATTAAATACTGAAGTTAATTACAACCAATAATTATTCAATTAATTACCCTTACGGTTGAACCTGATAGTCATAATCGATTTAACCGCAGGCCACGTTTATAATCCGCAATCGTAAGCGATTTACCATCTTCTTTCTACATTTCTTTCAATTACCAAACCCATCGATTCAGCCACAATCAAAAACTAATCACACAGCGATTAATAATTAACGACTTAATCATGCCCGATGCATAAATTCGCTTTGATTGTTTGCGTCACTTATCAACCACGATTACACGGCGATGACAATCGTTAGCGGCTTGATTACAGAGCAGGCATAATCGTTAATCATTGATCATTATACGCTTTGTACACCAGCGTAATCGTAAACCAACACAGAAAGAGGATTTACCGATTAAATTGTTCCTTTCCCTCGCGATAAATACGAATTCTGAACCGTGTTTCCTACCGCGCAGACCGACATGGTGCATTGTTACAACAATGCAATCTCCTGTTCGTATTTTTACCCGTGTCAC